CTGCAGCACAGCTTCTTGCCACTAGACTACCAGGGCTGAAAAATACCTCATAGAGTTGTCATGAAACGTAAACAAATAAATATATGTTTAAAACACTTAGAGAATTGCTTGGATCACATTAGGAGCTTATGAAGTGTAATATATTTCCAATACAACATGTTGTCTGCTCTTGTGTGATCAAGCAGTTATCACCCTGGAAATGATGACAGGGAGACCTTGTGAATTCACTCATCTGTGTGTATGAAAGGGCCAGGGGCGGACAGCGCAGCACTGAGTGAGTCCTCAGGGAATGCACCAGAAGCAGACCAAAGGAACAACTTGAATCAAGGTATTCAAGATCTTTCTAAAGATGAACACTTGTTTTCAAGCTTCAAAGAGGTCTCGTATGTTTTGAGTGAAGTCAATATGTGTACACTTTGAATAACCAACCCAGGAGGTTGTGATGCCTGCGATGAGCAGACCACAGCTTACGAAATGTTGGGGCAGGTGATCTGGAAAATTTGAGCTAAGAGCCTGCATTTTCCAAAGAAAAGGGTTAACAGGCCCACTTAACCCTCTTTCTGACACATAAGAAATTTAAAAATATGCAGATGAAATAGAGACAGTTATCTGAAAGGAAGGAATCCATCCAAGTTCTGTCAACCTTTCTGAGGCTGGAAGTAATCAGTTATCTTAGGGAAAAGCTACTTGGAAAACAAAGCAGCCTTTCTCTTCTTTCCCTGGCATTCTAAAAATCAGAAACCTATACTTTTTTGGACTCTTCACGTGGGTGTTTTCATTGATTTAAATAATCTGTAATAATTTGCTTTTTTTTTTCTTTTTTCCACTCAGCTCTTGCCTCTGTGGAGCACAATAAACTTACAGAGAGTGAAAATTATTGGGGCCAAATCACAGAAGAGTTCATTGATTTTTGCCAACTAGGACTCAAAACCCATTGCTATCAGGCCCAGACCCACTTTTAGAGCAGCCTGTAGTCTCTGCTCATGATAGAGCAGTTCTTGCCATAGACACAAGTCCTTGTCCACATACCTAGCACTGTGTACAGCCCAGTTTTGGGTTTGGGGTTTTTTTAACATAAAATTTGTCATTTTTACTGGTTTACTTATAAAGTTCATATACATTGTTTTTTTTACACTAGATCTTTCCTCTTTCTTTTACGCCCCCCCCAACCATCCATCAAATTATGCAATCCAATGTTTTAACCATGCCTTCATCATGAGGACCTCTTACTGGATAGCGTGCCAGGCTTGTCACTATGAGCAACGATTCAATATTTCTGCCTTACACAGGGAGATGTGTAGGTCTCTGATCTGTACTCTGATGTGTTGCATCCATGCTAAAGTGCTCACATTTCAGATTTTGACTCCTGTACCACCACGGCTACTTTCAGTCCCAAAAGGAAAGAATCCTATCAGATACTAGCCTCTAGCATCTCTCTACAATTGTGCATTTGCAATCTCTGACCTATACAATGCATTACATTATCTCTTCAGGCACCAGGCTAGTGCCCCTGCACACCTAAACTTTGTCTCATTGATACAAAAAGATATAAACCCATTCTTCTCAGCCTATTTGAAGTAAAGAAGAGTTTACTGTCTACTATACATAGATGCTTCAGATAGTTTACTTCATTTTTCTCAAGGAGGATGGTTATAGTTTTTATTGTAAGCTTTATATACCATTTGATCCTCTACTTTTGTAATCAGTAGATTTTAGTTTATGGATTTTTGCCTAATACTTCAATTCTACGGCACAAGAATCTAGATAAAATTAGTGTTTGTTTCTGCTATAGTGGAAAAACCATTGTTGATGATGTCAACTGGAAGTGACCTCTATGGACAACTGACCTTACTCTCCATTTACTGTGAAAATGGACTGCTTAAAATCAACTTGCTCAATCAATCCACTTTGTCAGTTACCATCTAACATTTAGCTGGATTATATCTAACAACCCTGTTTAGTTGAACAGTTCCTTTTTAAACATGACCACACTGAAGTATTCGCTAATAAGGTAAGTTGATTAAACTTAAACATTGCTTGAATGTTTTATTATCATTTTTTAATGTTCACTGAATGCAAATACCAGCTGTAAAAATTTTCCTGCAAAAATTATTAGGGCCAGAGGCTGCTCGCGAAACTACTTGTGGTAAGGTAACAGTAATTGAATTCTGAGGAAAATATTAGCTCAGCACACTTCCCTGGGGAGTTGGAATGGACTTCTTCTATAATTAAGATATATCTCCTTATGAAATCCTTTAACTGGAAAAAGAGTGTCAACCCTCTCATTTGCTTATCTGAATGTCAGTGTATGGATTTGCCCTAATTGGAGAAGAAAGAACATTTATACTCCATATTTTTTGCTCCAGAATGTCTCTTTAATTTCTTTGTTTCCAAATAGTTATTAAAAAAAAAGTCAATTAAAGGAATCAATAGTCGGAGATAATGGTGTCAAAAGGTTGTCATTTATTTTCTTAATATTCTAAACTTAATTTTGTAAAGCCAGCCTCTCAGTTGTTGCCAATCTAAACTAATGATTCTGAACCACACTTCCATGTTAGAGAATAAAGCTATATTGGGGATATAATACAAACCAGCCTATAATAATGGCATTAGATAATTATTATGACGGCATAGTACGTGCCAGGCACTGTAGTAAGTACATACATGATACTACTTTATATACGTGAATCTTACAACAACTTTTTGGCATAGTTGTTATTCTTTCACACACAGGAACACACACAGACTTCACATGTAAGAATATAGACATAAAAAGGTTTCACTCAAGACCACACAGCTGTGAAGTTGTAGAGCCAGGATTTGAAACTACAGCAGAACTTCTATTCCTAATTAGTTTATTGTATGTCTTCCCTAAAGTAATGATTTGACTTTCAGGTAGTTCCATATTTCATCATCGGATGTGGCCTCTGAAGATTAACTCCAATCACTCACCTCTATACTGAAAGGTCTTCGTGAAGGGTACCTCTGGAGGAAATGACAGCCACCTTCTTTGAGGAATCTTTTCTACAAAGAACCAGGGGATAAGTCATTCCTAGTATAGGACCTGATAGTGGATTTGTGAATTCCTATAGTGTTTAGTTGTTGCTTGAAACAAATTGGAGTGGCAATAGGGTGAGAGTATTACCAGCTAATACAAGAGAGTGAGACAGTATCTTCAGCTAAATCACTGCAGTACATTGTAGCAAAGGTTACAGTGTCATAGATATGCTATTGAAGGATAGGCAGTGGTCCATCTAGACTCACAGGGACTTGGTTTTAAAGGATTCTTAAAGAATCACAATACAACTCTGAATATTCAAAACCCACTGCCATCAGGTTGATTCTGATTCATGCTAATCCTATCAGAGTAGAATTGCCCCACAAGACAGAGGAGCATGAAGCAAACTGCTTTATCTTTCTTTCAAGTAGATTTGAACTGCCAACCTTTGGTTAGCAGTCAAATGCTTTAACCACAATACCACCAGACTAAGCATCAGAAACCAACTCAAATTCACTCAGGAAAACAGGGGCTTGACTTGCCCTTTATTTACTCATTAGAACTCTGGGAAGTTGAGGGATGGGTAGATCTAACATCAGACAAGTGCAGTTCAGAGACTCAAACAGTGTCGTCAAGGCTCCATGGTTCTATTTTTCAATTCTACTGGTCTCAACCTGTCCTCATTCCTCAAGCAACTCTTTCAGCGTGGTAGATAAAATAGCTGCTGGTTCTCCGAGGTTCACATCTTCTCAGCTTTGATTTCATCATAAAAAGATGTCTTGCTCTCAAGGTCCATAAATCAATCTTTGAGGAAACTCCAAATAACCTCTACAGAGAGATATGAGGCAGAACTGAGACCCTTTAGTGGGTTATCAGGAGACTGAAAATCACCAGCGAGGAGATTCCTCCTATTTCAGCTGTGGAGTCACTGGTGGATTTGAACATCCAGAGAGGCATCACCTCGGGGGTTAGCAGTGAAACTCTCTACAGACTATGCCACCAGAGCTCCCTGGAGTCCAAGTACAGTTTCCATAAAATTAAGAAAGCACTACAGGCATATAAAAACCATGGCTTTGTAAGTTCACAGCAGAAACAGTTAAAGTAACTATACCTATATGACCCATTTTGCCCAGAAAAGAAAGAGAAACAGACAAGGCTTTAATCCATTTCCATACTACTCTGCCAAACTGGAGGAGCTGTGTGGTATCAGTGAGTTTTCCATTTCAGAAGTCTCAACCTGGATAAGAGCCTTTGGAGTGTGGGCAAGTCCCTCCCAACTTCCAGGGAGTTCTAGGGAGGAAATTAGATAGAAGACCAGGGCTTCCAAGATGACTACTTGTACTACTAGTCCTGAAGCCTTCTTTAAATAAATCATTTCTGTTTTCTGTGTCTGTTTTCTCACCTGTTATGTGAGATTGGGAAATTATGTCTACAGTCCTTTCAACATTAAAAAAAGCCCAGCTCACTAAATTCTGAGTCTTCTGGAGAAAGAAAACGACCCAGGCAGTTAAGCATTCAGCTGTTAACAAAATGTTGGTGGTTCAAACTTAACAACAGTTTTTTGGGGCAGGGGTGGGTGGGGGAAGATGAGTAGTTTTTCTCTGCTCCCATAAGGTGACTAAGTTAGAATCAATTCAAGGACAATGGGTTTAGAAGGCAAGGCAGGGAAGCAAAGAGTCATGTGCAGTGAGCAAGCCTGCAGTGTGTATTTTTTTAAAAAAAAGTTACCATTGAGTTGATCTTCATTCAAGGCAAATTCTGGTACACAGGGTAGAACTGCTCTACAAAGGATTCTTAGCCTTAATCTACAAAAACAGATCAGCAGACCTTTCTTCTAAAGTTCTATAGGGTGTGTTCAAGCTGCCAATCTTTAGGCTCATAGTTGTTTGCACCTCCTGGAGACCCGCAGAGTGTGTGTGGTGAAGGAGTGGCAGAGCCAGGGACATGGGCCCACCAGGTATAACTACCAGGAAGAAGAACCCGTAGTTCCCACGGCAAGACCTCAGGACCAAAGCTGGGGCTTGATAAGCACTTCCCCACGGGTCTCATACGTCAGAGCCCGCCAATCCAAGACAGTAGGACTGATGGTCCCACCAGAATAGATGGTCTTAATCTGTTCTGGTGACAATACAAAGTCCCACATGTTCACATCTCCAATCTCTCCCACCAAAGACTGGTTGATATTAAAGCCTCCACCGAAAGAATCCTGCTCCTGCCCCAGGATGATGTTTGCCTCTGACTCCACAGAATATCCCTTCTTCAGACTCTTCCTCAGCATGGGCCACCCGTCCACCCAGAACTCAACAATCCCTGAGGCTGACTCCCAGCTTGCGCAGATGTGCGCTGGTTCCATACTGACTGCAGGAAACTTGAATAATTCCTTAGCCCCACCTACTATAAAACTGTATCCTCCATTTTTAGACCAAAAGATGACAATTTCATTAGCTATTTTCCTAGTGGCGTAAGAGAAAATTCCGTAGCTACGGGTCCGACTCCGGTCAGCATAGACGCTGAGGCACACGGTAAAGGCTTCCAGTGGCTGCTTCAACTGTCTTTTCAGAGACACATAGGAATTGTCTGACTCTTTGAGGAACACAAAGGCCTTCTTATTCATGTCTATGAAACAGGAAAAAAAGAGATAGAAATTTTTCAGATCAAAAAATATTAACAGACTCATCCCTTCTCTAGTTATACTAAATATACACACTAAATGTTCCTCTGACTTCACTTTGTATGAGCTCAAGTCCCATCAGTGCCCTTCATATCAAATCTCAGGCATAACCTTAGTTAACTCTTACCTGTCTGACCGGAAGCATTACAGAGATTGATTAAAGCCAGGAAACACCAACACAGCTTCTCCATGGTCACTTCCGCTTGATGCTACTATTAAAAGGTCTGGGCTCAGCTCACAGTCTGGAGAAGAGGAAAAGACTTTGAGTGAAAGCTCAGGAACTAGAGCCTTTGATGCAAGACTTGCCCCATCAGGCCTGGATTTATATGCATGACTGCAGGGAGGTGGGTGGAGAGGGTAAGGAGCCGCCATTTGGGGTCAAGTGTCAGTGTTGTGGGGGGAAAAAGATTCTAAATCATTGCAGAACTGAGAAATCAATGTGAGTTATTACAAACCCCTGTGATGGCTGCATTGCCAATTCTACGAGAATGAGGGAGCCTCCCCAGGGTTCTATTTTGGCTATCTATCCTGAGAAAATAATGGAAAATCTTCACCTAATAGAGGAGTGGCCATCTGTGTGATCTGTGTGTGCATGGAAGTGTCATCCCCAATGCCTACTTCAGCCCAAGTCATGGAGGTTGATGAAGGAGACCTGGCAGCTGCTGGAAACAGACATCATCACTAATCCTTTCAGAAGCTGCTGGCTTACAGATTGGGAAATGAAAAACAAACATGCGTTTCACTGAACCAAGGACAGTTTTTTTCCTAGCCAGTTGAACTTACTCATTAAGAACTCTAATACAGTGAAACATGCACCTAGTCACATATGCACCATACAAGTGAAGTTACTGAAACAGATCCTTCTCTGAATATGCAAAGCTCCAAAGAGTTATGATTAACTGGGTTATCAATCTTGGGAGCTGACTGACCTTACTATAAATATGATGATGATGATGATGATGATGATGATGATGATGATGATGATGAAATAGTCTCACTTTATTACCTGGCAATCTACTATACAATTCCATACTGGTTTTTTTTTCTGAAAAATTACAATTTTTTTTTTCTCTTCTGTCCTCTCTTCAAACCATTACCAAGTTTTGTTCTCAGTTTATGAAGTTATCCCTTCATTGAGAAATTAGACGCACTTTGAAAATGACTACCACATCCCTATGTCACAGGTTTCTGACCACTCCCCAATATCCATTCTATACTTCTCCTAATATTGTTGTTGTTGTGTACCTTCAAGCTGCAACTAACCTACAGCTGACCCTCCAGTGACTTTTCAGAGGCAGTAAATTACACAAGAGAAGATAGCCCATTTTTCTCCCTTGGAATCCTTGGTATATTTGAACTGAGTGCCTTTGGGTTGACAGTGCAACCTCTTACATGATCACCCAGCTGAACACTACATTTCCCAGACACCTCTGCAGCTAAAAGTGGCCATGTGATTGTGTTCTGGCCAAAGTGTATGATAAAAAAAATAAATAAAACCCCAAACTAAAAACCAGAGATAATTTCCAGGTTGTGTCCTTTAAAGATTTGTGCTTTCTTTTCTGCTTCTCACCTTTCTTTTGGCTAGTATTCAAATATTGTTTTGGGGGGTTTTTTTTAGAGCCTAACACTTACGAGGTGCTGGATATTTATTTCTTTTCCTAGATAATAAAGAACTTTTTAAAAAATTTTATTTTATTAAATTTTATTCATTTTAATGAACATTTACAGGGATTTTGGGTTTTCATTCCTTCATTGCTGCACCATTCTCTCTACCCTCCTCCCCAGTTTGTTCTTCTTCCCCGCCATCCGAATGTCTGTTTTAATTGTCCAATTGCCACAGTGCTTGTCAAAGTCAGTTCTGATTAATCTCCTTTGTCGGTGTGTCCTTTGCCATTCCCTATCACTCCTCCCTGAGAGAGACTTCACCCTGATTCATAAGGAAAAGGGGATGGCGTATTCTCTTAGCTACTTCCTGCTGAAAAGGGACGCTGTGAGTTTCAGGGTGAAGATCTTCTCTCACTACTCTAAAGGGCCCCTTTGGCAGTAGGAAACACATAGACTATTATGGAGATTGATTTTGGAATTTAGATGCACTGTTACAGAAGATGGGACAGTCACCTTTAAACCACGAGATACACACTACATGTTGATACTGGCACAGCAAAATGGTAGAAGCACAACAATAACTGATTATGAAGCTGCCTTAACTGCCCACCTGGACATTTTCTTCAAGGAAGAACATTCTTCTCTTGTTAGGTCATTAATACCTTAGTCTTTCTATTATAGCAACCTAAGTGATACCCTTCTATATCCTCCAAATCAGCACCAGCCTTTTTCTCACATACTCTACATTCTTCTTTACAAGGGATAAGAGTTCTAATGGTTAAAGCACTTGGCTGCTCACCAAAAGATCAATCAGCCAGTATGTGAAAGAAAAATATGAAAATCTGCTTCCAAAAATACTTATAGCCTTAGAAATCTTACCCTATTGTTAAGTAAAGAAAACAAAAATCCTCACCACTGGACTAACAGGCAGCATCATGATAGATGGAGAATAGATTGATGTTGTCAACAATTTCATTTTACTTGGATCCACAATCAACATACATGGTAACAGCAGTTAAAAAATTAAAAGATGCACTATAGTACGCTAATCTGCTGTCAGGACCTCTCCAAAGTGCTAAAGAGCAAGCGTATCAGTTTCAAGACTAAGGTACACCTGATCCAAGCCATGGTCTTTTCAACTACTTTCTATGCATCTGAAATAAGGATAATAAAAGAAGACTGATTTGTGGTGTGAGGTAAGAGTACTGAACATATTATGGACTGTCAAAAGAACAAACAAGTCTGCCTTGGAGGAAGTGTGACTAGGGTGGTCCTTAGAGACAAGGATGGTGAAACATCATCTCACATAATTTGTGTATGTTGTCAAAAGTGGCTTATTCTTGGAAAATATAACATGTTAGAAAAGATGAAGGATCCGAAAAAGAGGAAGATCCTCAACAAGATTGACACAGATATTTTAACAGTGGGTTCAATCACACCAGAGATCATGAAGATGGTGCAGAACAGGGCTACGCTCAGATTTGTTGTTCACAAGATTTCTACTAACCATAGCCTACTGATGGTGCCTACCAACAACGACATGAATATCCTTTTCTGCAATGGATCCCAGGTGCTCTAAATTGGTCAAGGGATTATGTTACTGTAGCTATTCTCTCTCTCCTGCAGCATTAATGTCTTCATCTCTACTTGATCATTAAAATATATATATATATATGAAATATTTACTATTTTACAGGAAGGAGAGGAACAGGCCCACGATCTCACAGTCATTCTAGCTATTGACTATCTGCTTTTTCTGCTCTTTTTTTAACTGCAAAACTCCTGAAAAGGATTGTGCACCTCTTCCATTTCTCATCTCCTTTTCTTTCCTTTCTGAGCACACCAGGCTTTTACCTTCACTGCTCCATCAAACCAACATAAACAAAACCTCTTTCTTGTAAATGTAATAATTGATTTTTCAGTCCTCATCTTACTCAACTTCTCAGCAATATTTGACACTTCATAACCTCCTCTGAGTACTTTCACATAGTTTAAAAGGTGAAATGATTGTGAGATCTCAAGCCTTAAAGAAGTTCACTGCCTCACCTCACTCTGCCTTTGATTTCAGAGCCAAGCTCGGAAAGATGCAACCTTGATGACATTATTTGAGCCTCTGAGTCTCATCTCACCTGACACCGGCTCCATATCAGACCTTCTGAAGTTTGTTAAGCAATAAATTTCCTGGTCACTTTTCATACATTTCAGTTTGCTTTCTGATACCTACACTTGAATTCATTTTTGCCAGTAAAAATGCATTCATTTCCTGAATGCAAAGCATTTTGTACCTAGATTGCCCTCAACCTGCCCTGAGATAGCACATCCTTTCTTACTTTCACCACAGAAATCCCCTCCTCCATCCAGCCTCATCAGACCAGCACCAAATTAACAGAGCCATAAAACCTGAAATGAAACCGTTAAGACGACAATATAAGCAAAGGCAACCACCAAGCTTCATCATCTACAGTTTTAGACACAAATATATATATTTTAAAAACCCCATTCAACATTCTCCTTGAGCCTCTAGGTACTTGATAATCCATGTTGTACATCGGTATCTTTCTACTCTCAAAAATGTATTGGTTTATAAGAAGAAATTCTGAGATAGCCTGACTCTACAGATTTTACCAATTTCTTTTTCACTCTCTATTCTAGTTGGTCTGGTGGCCTAGTGGCAAGAAGATATGCTACAATCACAATTCAAAGCCACCAGCTGCTCTGAGAAGAAGATGAGCAATCTGTCATGTGCAATTAATTGCCTCTGAAAACCCACTGGAGGATCAACTATGAGTTGGTTCCAACTCTACAGAATGCAACAACAACAACATTCTAGTTGCTCAGAGAGAAATGTGCTTGGAAAGGTAAAGGGTCAGTAAAAAAGAAGATCCTCAATCAGATGGATTGACAATGGTGACTACTACAAAGGGCTGGAGGGTGCCAGAGATAATGAGAATGGAAGAGGATGGGACAGAGTTCAGATCTGTCAGTCATAGAGTCACTATAACTGGAACTCAATTTGATGGCATCAAATAAAAGCAACAACAACATTCTAACTGAAATGGGTTCAAAGCCACCTTTGGATTGGCAGCGTATTTCACATGCAAGCAAGATCCTGCTGAAGGTTATCCAAAAAAATGAGTGAAATAGTACATCAGCAGAGAAATTCCTGATGTGCAAGCTGGATTTAGAAGAAGTCATGGCACTAGAGACATCAAAACAACGGTAGATGGATCTTCGATAAAAGCAGAGAGTACCAGAGAAACGTCTATCTGTGTTTCATTGATTATGCAAAGGCATTTAAATGTGTGGATCACAGCAAAATGTGGCTGACCTTGAGAAGGATGGGAATCCCAGAGCACTTGATCGTGCTCATGTGAAATCTATACTTGGACTAGGACACAGCTGTCAGAACAGAGTAGGGAAACACTGCATGGTTCAGGATCAGGAAAGGTGTGCATCAGGAATGCATTCTATCTTCATAACTTTTCAATCTACATTCAGAACAGGTCATTCTGGAGTCTGGACTTTAGGAGGAATGTGGCATTAAGATTGGAGGAAGACTCACCAAAAACCTGCATTATGCAGATGA